GTGTGTTTCTTAAATCAAAAAATGAATGGTTTTTGTGTTTCAATCGAAAGTTATAACTTTAAACAGTATTTATGAAGTGTGCCCGTGCAAATAAAAACTTCACACTGATACCTATCATCTGAAAAAAAATTAGTTAATTAAGTTTGATAAATAGTGGAATTATACGAATTTACTTTCCGTCCGGACTTTTGGGACACCCTGTAGATCGAAATGCGAAGTATCAACTTATATGAATAACTTTTTTGTGTTATTTAGACCAAGGTCAACAAGCGATAAGTAAGTATCGTAATCTATAGAAAAAGAACATGTTTCTTTACTATTTACGACAGATGGCGAAGAAACACCAATTTCTCATCCGATTTAATAGAAATTTGCCTCAGTATAAGAAGAAATCATGTGCGTATAGACAGTATACTGTACTACAGATCGAGACTCAATTATGACCGTAATGTCAAGAACTACTATTAGATTCGATCATTGGTACATTCACACACTTACACCAATACCTCCCATTCTCAACAAGTATGAACAACAATTTTATTTTATAAAGCCCCTCATTATACTATAAATTCTAAATTAAAGCACACACTTATGTTCTACTTATTATTTCTAATAACTCGAGACGAAAATATGTAATCGTCAACCATTTAGAAGGCTTTATAATTTTGTCTGTTCTATGTGTTGATGTATTACTAACAAAATCATGTCACTCATTCATTCTACGCATGAATAGTCTGTATATTATAGTGAAAAAAAGAAAAACAAACATCGTACATGTCTATCAATCTGACGAAATATTTCTAACTAACAAATGTAGCTATATAGATATATAGTGAAAAAAAAATAGATGAAAAATATTGGATTATTTTTTGTTAAATTTTATGTTTTCTTTGAAGGCTTTGATATGCGTGGAATTTGGTGTATATTTGGTTCATCAGTTGATACTCATCAACAAGTTCCAAGTTGTTTTAATATTGCACATCGTAGTTCTGACTGTTTTCGTTTTGAGAATGTTAATCATTTTTCAAAATGTGTTTTTGGTTTTTATCGTCTCACAATTGTTGATAATATTTATGGTATGCAACCAATGCGTATCCATACATTACTAAATATATGGATAGTTAATTTTAAAAATGTTTTTGTATTTTTTTTCTTACAAAACAAACGTTTGTTTTTATATATATTTAGATTTATAATGGTGAAATCCACAATTTCGGATAGGTAGAAATAGATAGAAAAACAGATGTTTTTGTTTTCTTTAGTGAAATTTATATTGATTAGACACAAAAACAAATATGAATAACTTTATGGCGTTTTTGCTTTTGTCTTATTTGATACAAACGAACGTAAAATCTATATTGGTCGAGATACATTTGGTGTTTGACCATTGTTTCGTACTTTTACGGATTGTGGATTTTTAGCTATCTCATCCGAAGTGAAAGGTTTGATTTAGTTAGTTTCTTTTTCTAAGTATTTAATTAAATTTGTTGGGATGTTTAAATCTCAAAGGTATCACAGTAGTATCAAATCAATCATTAAAAGTTGAACCTGTGGAATCGGGTACATATGAAGAATATAAATTAAATAAAAATGAAAAAGTACAATTTGTTAAAAAAGAACGTTTTCATTCGATTGAAACATTTCCAAAATATGATGTTAATGTTAATTTAACAGGTAATTAAATGAATGTAGGCGGAATTATTGTTTTCATTTTGTATTTTCAATGAAGTTGCATAAAGCTGAAGATTTCAGAATATATCTAAGTCAAGTTGTTTTACATACTCTGAAAATTTCAGTACATTCCCAACTTTCTTGACAATTTTTATGTTTGAAATACGAGTCTGGTACGAAATCAGGAAAAATAGACATCGAGTTTGAGTTCTATGTAAAGAATTGAAAAAATTGGTTCAGTTAAAATTATGAAGAAGAAACATTCTATATATGAAAGCTATAGCTTGGATGTCGTGTTATACGTATATACAGAAAAAAACAAAAGCTTGAACTATGTAACAAAATGACGTTTACGAAAGAAAAAAAGCTTCATGAGACAATCACGTTTCGAGACACGGTTACAGGGGTCGCCGAAAAGAAAGATTTTGAGAAGAAATTTTCGGAAAAAAAAGAAGGAAATCCAAAAAAAGTAGGAAAAGAAGAATTTTTCAGGAATCCTGCACTGCAACGGTAAAATTATATTAGAAGTCGAATAGTAGACGATACGTACGAGCTCAGATGAGAACGAACTTCAAACATGAACAGTGGGCTTCTTGTCATGAATATATCTGTGTTGCCATCCTTCCTAGGTGTCAATGGTTGTCTCGGCAGTTCTGCAGGTAACATATGTCCGTCATCACATGTATCGGTATTTCCTGTATCGATCATAAAATTCATGTATTGTCAAAATATCCCTTGATATGATATCGGAGACATATTGCCATTACGAAAGTATCAGCTTTTTTCGCTGTTCGATAAGCGGGCTGAAATCTTTAGGGAAAACTACTAGTACAGTTGGAAACCCGACAGTGCAAGCAGAAATATTTTCCAAAATTTCTTGGACTCAATCATTGCAACCAAACCGAAAACCGCATGCAGGCATGATGATCAAAAGCTTCGATTTTGAAAAAGTGAAAATAAGTATGCTAGGGTTGTAGGACATTGTCGAGTCGGTAATGTTCCGTGTTTTTTAAACTAACAAAATGGATCTGAAATGATCTGATGATGTATCAATTTTCGTCTTATACGAACATCTAATGCCAGACCGAACACATATCCGCAGTTTTTTTCGTAAACAACCACATAAGATTTCCAAGTCCACACTACTTTATAGTCCTAGCATACTTATTTTCACTTTTACAAAATCGAGAGTTTTCATTTCGTACTCTTTTAAGGGTTTTTCGATATGGTTTCGGTAACTCGTTAAAGAAGCTGTGAAAATCTTTTCTGGTGGTGCTGCCAAGCTTGAGTCATGCCAGAAGTTTATAATAGAAATTCTGGGCCGTTTATCGACTCTCGAGGAAAATTGCTTATTTTGTAGCGCAGGAATATCGTTCTATCTTCGAAAAATTTGCAACGCAATACAAAGCGACCTTTTCTATCTGTTACTCTTGTACATAGTAAAACAAAGAGTTACCCTAAACATGCCATTTTCGTCTAGAAGTGAGATGCTTCAGATAATTCGAAGTTAAACTACCTGGTTAACTAACATTTTGGCATTGAAAGTTGAATTCAGCTCATCAATGTTTTCCAGCTTGTAGAAAGATATTTTCCGTCATCTCCTATTTCTACTCTATCCCACTCGGATTAAGATATCTTGCTATCCCTAAATCCAGATACACTTTTTTCCGAGCTTCGTGTTCTAAACGAGACTCTAAAATGATTTTGACGTTCTTCATCGATTCGAGTTAACTGGATAAGTGTCCAGTTCCTTGATATATGTACGCGTACACGATTTCAAATATTTTTCAAGTTCTTCAGCGGTGTAAAGTTCCATTATGACTCATAACTTTTTCGACCATAAAAGTCAAAAAAACGTCTCTGAAATCTCAAGTTGACCGAAACTTGAAAAGCATAAGAAAAACTATAGTTCAAGTGGAAGTCTTTGATATCTCTGGAATTGGTTGAACAACTTAAATTGCGAGAAAAATTGACAGTTGATTTTGAGTTGAATTGAAACTAATTTACACGCTTGACCCATTCCTGTTCACAAGCACCATCAGATGTACTGTCAAATGTTGGTTGCCTTCCTCCTTTTGTTTATCAGCAACCATCCAACAAAAACTGTGTTTCTTCTGCTCTGTTGAGTAAAAATCTCAGCCGAACATTGATACGCGACGAAAAGTCATTCACGCAAGTATCTGTAAAATTGGCTATGATGAGCTCAGCTTCTGTCATGCTTGGTTACTGAGTACTGAGTATATGCCTGCCATTTTGAGCAGCAACCGAATTTCAGCGAACAGTCATGATAAGTATCTTAAGTCCTGCACATATGTATCGAGTAAATCAAAGCCCTAAATGCATATGTTAACATAAGCATGGTGGACTTTTCATTGAACCTGCGACGAATTAAACATTGTCAGGAGCTCTGCGAGCCAGCGTATTTAACAGCAAGTGTACCAAGCATAAAGAAAATGTACAGATCACGTACTGCTGCCAGGGAATCGGAATGATCAGCATGAGAAAAGATCAGCAAAGAAGTGCTCGAGTGAGGGTGTAGGCGTGGTTCGTGACAAGACCATATCGACACATCCCTATACTCATCTCAATTCATATTTTCCTTCTTTGTTTTGTATTACTCAATACTGTGGAGTTTAACACTCCCGTGCTGACCATTCACTGGCCCATTAGCAGCTATGTATGATGTGTACATTTTCTTTATACTTGGTACACTTACTGTTAGAAACGTCGCTCACAGCTCTCTATCTAACACAAGCATTGCTCATATGTTTTCCGAGGATTCTGAGTGGGTATTTGTATGAAAACTAAAAAAAGAAGGAAAAGAAGGATTTTCCAAGAAAAGAAGGACAAAGACGGATGCTCTGGAAAAAAGAAGGACCGCTGCAGGGCCTACAGTCATATTTTTCCAATGACTATTTCTTTAGAAAGTTAACTATAATTTCTGTGAATAAACAAACTAAGTATTACACATAGACAAGGAATCGAGAAAAAGCATTTTGCGTTGTTCTTCTGATAGCGTAAAAACTTCATTATGAATGCATGAGGCATGGATGCTTAACTCGAGTTGGTTCACAAAAAACTGACCTATTCCGAACTTTGTATAAGATAAGCAGTAGTTCTAAATAAGATAATGATTTCTTTATTTCGTAAATCAAGAGAATTTATACAGACCAACAAGGAGAAAGCAGCAGAAACTTCGACCGTGAAGGTCCATGAGGTCTGTTCAAATCAGTGAAGTCTTTTAAACTCTCTCGAAAGTTAAAGTCTTTGATATGGAAATCTCGTTAAATCTTGAAATTAGCTGTTTTCTTCTGAAGAGTCAATGAACAGCTTGTGAATGCCCGAATAAATCCTTGTTGATTGACCAAAAAAAAAATATCTTCAACTTCGGATCGAACCTAATCATGAAAAATATTGACCCATGTCAGACACTGTGAGGTACGTAGTAAATATTAACACTAAAGTAGCATTTTGAACTCTCATAATGAAAAAGAGCTCAGAACCACCATAAACCAATTTCAGAATCAATCAGTGAGGTTTTAGAATCACTTTGTCTATCTAAGAATATGTTTTCAATACAACATAAGATTAAAACGTATGTCTCTTTTTTGAAAACAATACACTCAGTAGCTCCGATGGTGATTCCATTATGCTTTTGATAACTAAGCAGGAATGATCATTAAAAGATAATTAGTTTTTCGAATAGAATCTAAAAAAAATAACGTTGCAGCACTCATTCTTAAGATCCAAAATATTTTGCTTTTGGTTGAAAATGAATTGTAGAGTATTTTCGTGACGGAATCAGTATCCGACATGGGTCAATTTCTCCTGACCTGATTCAAGGCTAAAGATAGTTCTTGATCAATCAACGAGAGTTTGTTCAAACATTCACAACATTTCTAGTCAATCTCCAGAGGAAAACAGCTTAGTTTAAGAACTTATAAGACTTTTCGAGAAATCGCGGGTAGAATCTCTGTTAGTTGCCCTCATAGCAGAGACTAGAAAAAGACTTCGTGAGACTTTACTGGACTTCAAAGTCTTCTTCACACTTCTAGAACTTCAAAAGACTTCATGGTTGTAGTCTCTACTGTTTTCTCCTCTGGCGAACCCATACAAATCATCTCCATATTCGCAATAAGCAAATAATTATCTCATTTAGAATTGCTACTTGTCTTATGCAAAGTTCGAAATCGGTTAAATTTTTATGACTTTAACTCAGAGTCCGACACTAATGACAAAATCACTATCATAAACGAACTAGTTTTTAAATGTAAATAATTTTCTTCAGAAGTGATAGAACTTCGATTTGCTTCTATAGCTATGGAATCTAAATGAAATCGGTTTCGAAAAAAAAAATCTTTCTCTTTTTTCGTCTAAAATATATGAAACTACTCAGACAAAAACCTATGTTTTTCTAAGCTATCGACCATGTTCTACAACATGGTCGCAGTCATTTTACTTATTTTTTTTTGCTGTTTTAATTTCGCGTATACATGTGAATCGTTATCGATTACTGAATAAAAAGATCATTTTAGTAGAACAATATTGTTTTAACTAATATGATATTCCATTAAATATTCGTTCATATCTTATAAATGCTGTTCGAATACGTTTAATGTCTCAACGACATTTTGGTTGTATGCTTTCTAGTGGTTTTGATTCAAGTCTACTTGCTGCTTTAACTGTACAAGAACCTCATCAACAAGGTATCAATTATCCAATAGAAACATTTCCATTTAGAATGAAAGAAAAAAATCTGGATTTAATTGCTACACGAAAAGTAAATTATTTTCTTTTTCTTTTTTTGGAAAATCGATGTAAATTTAATTTAGGTAGCACGACATATCGATAGTCAACATCATGAAATACGTTTTACAGTCGAAGATGCAATAAAACATTTGAAAAATCTCATTCAAACACTTGAATGTTATGATATAGGACAAATTCGAGCATCAATTGGAATGTATTTAGTTTCGAAATATATCTAACAATGGAGGTGTTTGTATTGTGACCGAGCTAGACTTTATATTTTGGTGTTAAATGAAAGCTCTCACCGCCAAACTAACAAGATTAAAATATTAGCGGCTGTTGGCTTGCCTGGAGGGAGATATTCGATTTTTACTGGTATTTACAGTACATGTTGGATGTCTACAATTGAAAATTTCAATAGAATTTCTTTTTCTTTTTTCATGATGGTTGGATAAAACTCGTCGAGTTGCATTAGAAAAACTGTTTCAAATTTTAAAAAGAGATTTTAAACAAATTTTGCGAACGATCGGAATTTTGGGTCTATTTTTCCTTATATTTGAAAATAACAGTAACTTTAACTCTTCGTCTAAGATTTTTTAAAATCCCTTTTTAAAATTTGAAACATAGTTTTTCTAATGCAACTCGACGAGCTTTATCCAACCATCATGAAAAAAGAAAAAGAAATTCTATTGAAATTTTCAATTGTGGACACCCTACATATACTGTAAATACCAGTAAAAATCGAATATCTCCATCTGGGCAAGCCAGCACCCGCTAATATTTTAACCTTGTTAGTTAGGTGGTGAGAGCTTTCATTTGACGCCAAAATATCAAGTCTAGCTCAGTTACAATATAAACACCTCCATCGTAAGAAAAAAATGATATCGTTGTTTTTCTATCGGATGAAGATGCTGATGAAATTTGTCATGGTTATATTTCTTTTTATCGACAACTAATACCAGAAGATAATGATCGAGATAGTCGTCGTCTTTGTAATAATCTTTATTATTTTGATGTACTTCGTACTAATCGAACAATAGCTGCACATGGATTAGAATTACGTGTACCATATCTTGATCATGCATTTTTCATCTTATTATTTTTCATTATCAGTACATGAACGAGCGAACACAAAAGAACGACAGGAAAAATATCTTTTGAGGTAAAATTTCAAGGAGAAATATTCTATAGATATGAAATTTTATTTTCCATATAGAAAAGCATTTGATGATCTTGATTTGATACCATCATTTATTCTTTGTCGACTAAAAGAAGCTTTTTCTGATGATGTTTTTACGAAAAAAATCTCTTTATCAATATATGCAAGAATATCCTGAAACAGAAATATCTGATAATGATTTTCAACGTGCATCGATCTTATATCCAAGAAATACACCAAAGACAAAAGAAGTAGTTCTTTGTCGGTAAATATAGGAGCCTGAGCCTGCGAAGTTTTGGATCTGAATCTGGATTTTTTTTCCTCTAATATTTGACACTTATTTTTACATGACCAAATAAAAGATCGAGATTATAGTTATTTACTGATCACTTTCAGGAAAAAAGTCAATATATGCAATTACTTCTTGTTATCTCTCCTAGCATAGTTCTTTTAAACTTGCAACTAAATGCAAAACGAGTCTCCAATTAAATTTGGATATGAAACCGGATCATCGGGGGGGGGGGGGGGGGAGGGGGGGGAGGAGAAAACCAAAGTACTGCGGTGACCTCCACGGCCCCCCAGGGGTTGGTGAAGCCAAG